AAAAAAAAAAAGATGCCAAGAAAATGTTTTGTTTTACATTGGTAGTGTTCTCTGTTTTTCAAAGTATATCAAAATATACTTTTCCTGGGCCCTCTCTGGTGGAGCAAAGGGCTAGGGCGCAGCACTGCAAGTGAGCCACAGTCACTTTAGTGCGAGTTTGACCCCTCACCTCGGAGGTGATGCACGTGGGCAGCAGACCTCTCCTGTCTCGCCCACTGCTCCCCTCAGCAGTGTGTTTCAGGAGACCTGCCTGTTCCACTCCCCACTCCATCCTTGGTGAATTCTCTGACCGCCCCTGCACCTCTGGCCTGCACCTCAGTTCTGTATGCATAAATAAATAAATCTTAAAAAAATAAACATAATGACTTCAAAAAAAAGAATAGTTTTAAAAATATATATACTTTTCCTACCTTTATTTACCCTTACTTTTAATTTCCTCCTTTCAGCTTCCAGGTGTTCATACTAGCTTTGACAAAGCCACCAGAAAAATGACCTTGGCTGTTCAGGGGTCAGTATTCACTGCTGAATCTTTGAAATGAACATGCTGGGCCAGGCCTGGGTGCATGAGGCAACACCCCCTGTTGCCTTCTCCCATGGGGCCACACACAAGCTCACCAGGTTCAACCTCGTGCAATGGCAGTGCAGCAAGAAGGATCCATCACATACTCCAGCTCACACCATTAGGTGTATAAAGCCAGAAGTCCCTTGATTAAGAAAATGAGGCATGATATTTATAACACTCAAAACACAGATCTGGTTTGTAAAACAGTAAATGTTATAGCCATCAGCTTGGCACCATAACAGATCAAAATGCAAAGGGAGATGCTATACAGGAAGAAATTCTTAAGTGTGATGAATCTATAGGCAGAATACAATGATTTATTTTATTCATTCATTGAATGCCTTTATGTGACAGCCATTAGTGTCAGCTCTGCAAGAATTGATGATCTTTTTTCGGTCATTCAGTGCATATTTATTGACTACCTATTATGTGTGGTGCTCCAAGACGGGTTCTGAAGAATATAACTGCATGAAATACAGTCTTTTACACATGGAGGCTGATCAATCAGCAATTACAACAAAATTGGATAAATCGACTATCAGACAAGTAGAGGTCACAGAGGGTATGAGGGTTCTACCGCTGACTTCTAGTTTTTGTTTTTGTTTTAGCCCTTCCAATTTAATAGGCAAAAAACATTAAGCTAAGCAAGTGGTTTTGGAGAGAGGGATATCAAAAATTAATGGGGCATATTGCCTTTGCAGCCAGGAGAGCCTGGTTAGCCGAGGAAGGTCTAGATGTGCTTCCCCGTGGGAGGGACAGCTTGTCTCGGTCATGAAAGCCATCAAGAGCAAAAGTGAAGAAAACATCTTGCAAGTTTCCATTACTCAGTAGGAATAGAAAATTACTTTGGCAGGATGAATTGAGGCCAGATACCAGGTGTCAGATAAAGCACTTTTGAAAAGTGATAGTGTATCTATCTATCTATATATATATATCTATAAAGTAAAAAGAAATATTAGAAGGCACATCAGAAATTGTCATGGACAGCATGATGGGCTTTAAGACATGGGGTTCTATTTTTAATCGACATTTCTATAGCCAGGGATTTTTGTTCACTAGATTCAGTCAGGTCAAAAATCAAACTGGGGTTCTTTTAAAAATTTTAGGTTCTTCTGGGGTTCCTGCAGTCAAAGAAATGTTTGCCTCAGAGATTTGACAAATTCATGGGAAGACTTTTGTGAAGTTTTAAAATATTTCTAACTGCTTCTGCTGCCTTAACTAGTGTGAGTGACTCAAAGAAATGTTTGCCTCAGAGATTTGACAAATTCATGGGAAGACTTTTGTGAAGTTTTAAAATATTTCTAACTGCTTCTGCTGCCTTAACTAGTGTGAGTGACTCAATATTACTTAAAAGAAACTCAATTTTCCAGAGTAGAACTAGGAAAAATTCCACCCATGTTAGCTATTCTGAAGATATTAAAATGACACATATCCCACCGTTAGTCTTTTTAACAAAATTTCAGAAACTTTATTCTTAGCATGGAAGTTACATGACTTCGGCTAGTAAGAGAAACAGAATTTAATGGAAGTTTCTTTGACCTCACCATCATTTTGACAGGGAATAGCTATTTAGAGTAAATTATGGTTGTACCATACTATAAGACATCAGCAAACTGAATGAATAAGCAAATGATGAAAACTTTGAGTTTCCAACCAAAAGAACTCCGTTGATTTCCTTTGATAATTATTTAGTTTCATGTTTAGGCCCTTTTGACATTTTAACCTTTAGAAAGAACTATCTCTAAATCTCAAATTCTGGAAACTATGAGCATTCTTTCAAAGGCTGTCTAGCAGCTATCTGCCTGGTAAGTTCATTCTGCAGCTTTAATGTACATCAGAATTAACTTGGGTGTTTATAAAAATTCAGGCCTCCAGACTTTTATGACAGTAAATTATAATTCCAAAGACCTGGGAAAGCAGCCTAGAACCCCATTTTAAATTACTACCTCTGATAGTTTTCAAGCCAAGGGTCTGTTGGTCACTAGTAAGTTTTCCATTGTTGCATACAAAATGGCCACAAACTTAGTGTCTTTATTTAAACTACACACTTATTATCTCACCATTTCTGTGGGTCAGATGTCTGGGTTCAGCTCTTCTGGCTTTCAGGTCTAAGGGGGCTGGAATCAAGAGGTGAGCTGATCTACTTTATTAGAAGACCCAGCTTCCAAGCTCCATTATGTTATTGGAAGAATTCATCCTCAAAGCTGAAGACTGACTTCTCAGAGGCTAAGTGCCAGAAGCTGTCCACAGGTCCTGGAAGTCACCCTTGAACTCCTGCCCTCTGACCCTTTCAACAGAACCTTTATAACAGGGCAATTTGCCCAGCAAGAGATCCTTTGCCCTCAAGGAGGGCCGTGCCTCTGCTGTAATTGTTTTTACCTCATTACCTCAGGCCCAACCAAGATAGTGATGATTCTGAATAACACAGAGTGAACTGATTAAGGACCTTAATTATACCTCTTATCTTTGCCACACCACTTAACCTCATCACAGTAGTGAAGACTCCTGCTTGCACTCAAGGGAAGGGATTACAGGGCCCTGCCAGGGGAGGAAGGGGAGGGCATGTGTTTCTGAATTCTGGCTCCACCACCCTCCTTTGAGAACACAGGTTTAAAAAGCTTGAAATACAGACTTCTGGAAACTTTGAGTGTGAGACGAACAGGAATGACAGAGTTATACCTGCAAATGTGGTTGACAAAATAAAAATTAAGACTGCTATGGGACTCAAATGCAATAGGCTGTGAGGAAGTGAACAAGAGATGGCAGCTTTTTGTGCCCAGGGAAAGACTGGTACCATTTCCTCACCTTTGTCCTAATCAGGGAAGTTCTGTCATTCACCCTTTAGAAGGCTACATTCTTGGGTCCTCCCTGGTGGCACAACGGCACCATGAAGCCACTGCAGCACAAGTTCAATCCCTGGCCAGGGAGGTGACCCATATGGCACAGCAGACCTCTCCTGGCCCACCCTCTGCTCCCTCAGCAGTGTATTTTAGTACATCTGCCTGTTCTGCTCCCCACTCTCTCTCTGGTGAATCCTCCCATCCCAGCACCTCTGGCTTGTACCCCAGTTTTGTATGCATTAATTAATTTTTTTAAAAAAAGCAGCCTACATTCTCTGTGAGAAGAAATTGTAATGTCAGCAGCTATTTTAGTATTTCCACAGAGAAGGGCCCTTAATATCTGATGGAAATGGCCCCC